GTACCAGATGGTTGGATATATTGTACTTATAATAGGAAACGATTAAATTAAAACAAGAACTATCCATGATAAAAATACTGGAGGTTAGCTATTACCATATAGGTGTTTTATTTTGTTGGTATAAAATTTTGTGAATTTGTTCAGATTTGTCATTTTGTTTGTATAAATTTTTGTGAATCTTACTGTATAGTAGAAAATTTTGGAGGGGATTAAATTTGGCAAAATTGGCATTTTCTGCCATTTTGAGCCATTATATGCATGCTCAATGGCACGTGGCCACAAATTTGCCAAATTAAAATTTGCCAATCACCAAAATTTAGCAATTAATTCGCCAAATTTTAGTCCCTCCAAAATTTTCCTGCTATACAGTACCTTCTGCAGCCATTTTCCTAGCGTACCAAACCTCTTTTGTGGAATTTAAATTTGCAAATTTAATGAAAACGTGAAATTAGAAAAATTTATTTCCAATGAAATATAACCCATATATGGTATTAATAATTATAAAGTACATGTACATGTACAAAACTTTTGTCAGTGTTTGTAATCTTCAATATTTCATGGCATGTAATTATTTTATCAACCTTACGTCTGTAATGATTATATCCACAAATTTTACATATGGCCTGTCTTGCATATACTACATGTATCTGTATTTGTGAGTGCATGAGGTCTGTTAGTCATTTTGCCTTGCTACATGTATGTGTCAATGTTTCATTAGTTTTTCTTATCAGATATTTTAACTAATACTGTACCATGTAGCTGGAATTAATTGGTGGATTGATTGCCAGTTACAGTAAACATCTGCAAATATAGAACCTGCCATCTTGTCTCATGCTGAGCATGCTCAGTGACACTTGATGTGATTATAAAACTTGCCAATTGAAAATTATAAAAATTTAACTTATGTGATACTGTATAGAAGGAAATTTTGGAAGTACATGTAGTTAAATTTGGCAAATTTGGCATTTTGATAGCCATTCACCAAAATAAAAATCCACCATTTTGAGCCATAATGCGCATGCTCAATGGCACATGGCTACAACCAAATTAAAATTTGCCAATCACCAAAATTCAGCCATTTGCCATATTTAACTCCCTCCAAAATTTCATGCTATACAGTATTTCCAGCAGTGCTGTATGATAATGTCTTAATTATTAGGAAGAATCATTGTCTGTTCAAAGTGATACTGAATCAGTTAAAGAAGTTGAGGTATCTCTCACTAGTTTGTATTAATTATAATAATTATTGATAGGAAGAACCACTTTATGAAGAGTTGACTATATTGAGCTCTCAGTTTAATGAGATAAAAGAAGAAAACAAAGAATTGTCAGACAAATTATCAAAAATGAAGGTTGAGTATTTGAGATTACTTTCACTTTCTAGTAATACGTACTGATTCAGGTTAGAGTAATTTATTCATTATACTAATAATTATATGATTAATTAAAGCTGCTAGCAAATTGAGACAAGGAATGTCTTTTGAACTTGATGACTGCAAATTTCATCTTAAAGCAATGACAAGACCAGACTATCAGCCATTAGTAGATAATAAAAGAATAATAGAGAAATTACAAGAAAGAATAACATTAATGAATATGGAACTAATGACTGAAAGAGAACATAATGAGAAGATTATAAAAGATATTAAAGGTTTTACTGATGATTGTGTCATTATTTGATTGTTTTACTAGATTTGAAAAATGAAGAGACTGAGGGTGCTGGAGATATAGAGGCTAGAAATAAAATGATTGAGTATGATAGTCTGAATGATGAAACAAAGGATCAAATATGTTTAGTAAGTGAAATCAGACAATGATAGTTACTCTTTTGATTAGTTCACATTGTATTGTAATCATCCTGTTACTGGCAAATTTATGGAGTCAATACTTGAAATACATAAAGATGAATTACTACCCACAGTACTGGATAAAGCTTATGAGGTTTATTAGCTTTAGTTGAGCTATTTCTGTTGATTAATCCATTTCTGTTTATTTCCTTTATCCTCATCTTTTTATCAGTTAAATGAAATTGGCTCCTCATATTCCTATTGAGAGATGTCGTTTAGTTAAATATGATTATTTGTATGATTTAATGGAGCAATCCTTGGATCTTGATGAGGTATAATTGAGGTTTGTGTATCCTGTCGTTATTGCTATTTTTAGTTTCAGCATCAAACTATTGGACAGATTGTGGGTGGAGGTAGACATTATTATCCTTTTGAATTATTCATAGAAACTCGAGAAGAGAATGAAACTTTTGATAAATACCATGATGGAGGTGAGTTGCAATATATGACAATACATCTAATTACATGTACATGTACATGTGTTTGATGGTGTAGGTATTAATCTAAAGATATCAGTGGTTGATCTGTCAACTGGTGAAGTAGGACCAGCTAAACCAGTGAGAGTTGAGAAAGGTTGGACTGTTGAAGAATTAAAACAACATATAGGAGAAGTAATAATGTAATATACATGTATTGTTATTGTATTGTTTGCCTTCCCTCCCTCCATTGATCCGATCCGTCTTTCTCTAGATATATAATCTCAATTCATCATGTATGAGATTAGTAGTGAAGAATTATAATGAAGTTACTGATATTAGTGATGTAGGATGTACTTTAGACAAGATATTCAGAAAGTCAAAATACCTTCACAGACAAGTACTGACATTAATACTGTAATGGAATATTTTGATGGAGTTTTATTTTGTGATTTCTCCAAAAAATACCATTAGTTTTAGATATAGCTTGCCCATGTGTGAATGCGAATAAAACAAAAATTACAAAATAGTTTATTTTTTATTGAGAAATTTTCCATGAACATTGTAAATGCTAATTAAATCCACCAATATTAATTCACTACCAATATTTCATACTAATAGCTATCATCAACCTATCATGATATAGAATTATTTTCTCACTTTCTTTTATTTGTACTCCTTTTCTCTTCTCTTTATTGTCTTTACACACACACACACAAACACACACACACACACAAACACACACACACACACACACTGTTTCCTTTCAGTTAGTGTATGTATCGGCAAATCCTAAAGATTATAAAAAAGAATATGAAGATAGTTTGATGTACAGATATGTTGGTCTTCCTGTCAACTTAATACTACTGGACATTACACTACCCCCTGGACCTGAAGCCGCACCCACTACAGCTAATAGAAAAAAAGGAAGAGTACCGGTAATAATGAAAATTATATCAATGGAGAATAAAGGAAAAGAAAGAAGTAAAATAAATATTAACTTGTCTTGTACTATATTGCAATTTTGCGCTACCAAGCAAAATTTAATGAACCGTAGGGCTCTCTTTTTTTGAGGGCTATATATATATTTTGCAGATTTTTCCTGAAAATGCAAATATTGTGGCCTTGAACAAAGATTATAATTGCAAGGGGGTGTGTCAACATGTTACAGGGGGTTTTAAAGTAGGGCTGGGACAAATGTTGGAACATTTGAATGTTTGTTCATTAAGAGCATTCGAGTGCTGCAGCAGGCATGCAATGATGCAAATGTTATAAGTAATAAGTAAGTACATCAGTAGGTATGGTATGTACCACATTTACTAATCAATGACATATACCGTATGAGTACAAAATTTTGTTGGGGATTAATTGTCACTATTTTTGCTGTGAGCACTAATTTGTGAAAATTTAACCCCATGAAGAAAACGGGAAATTAAACACAGGAAATTTAATATTTCCCCAAAATTGTGAAAATGTATCACTGGGAATATTTGTATACCTATATGGTAACTTATTTAGTAATAAGATATGAGTACATTGTACATGTATAAACCATTGAGCTATACACTCTACATGTAGTGTCCTGCATTTAATTAAAGTGATCTAACAACAAACTAATTAATTAATAAGAATCTAATTCCATGGTGCAAATATTCAAACATATTTTGTTCATTTTGGTTAATAGAATGTTTGAATGCTCCTCTATTTTAAAGTAAAGATGGTGTTTTTGGACTATAGTTTCTGGCAGTAGAGTATTAATGCTCTTTCGCTTTTTCCAAACTCTGCTGGTCCTCTGTCAAATCATGTACCTCAGAGAGCAATTGTGTCAGTTAAAGGGTGTGAGGGAGGTATGATTTGCAAAATTTACTTTCCCTAAAAAAGGAGTTTGAAATTTATAGTCCTTGAAAAAGAGTGTCCTACAGTGTGTGGAGTTTAATTTTGCTGGTGTAAGTGTGAGCTCTTATACGATACACCCATCAATGCTTTGTGGAATAAATTGTGCATTTTTGTAATAAACAGCAATAGCAAAATTAA